ACTTGCCATGTCTTTCTGTGGGAGCCAAGAAGAGTCAGTGGCCAAGTGCAAAGCCTGGGCCTTGGCCCCATCAGCAGCACTCTGCTGCAAGACCGCGGGTGTCACTGTCCTCTGTCTCGCAACACAAGGCTGGAGAAGATGGCACATGGAGGGAGGCAGAGGGTGCAGAATCTCTTCTGGCATCAGGGCTGCTCTCAGCCCTGACAGTGATTTGGAAACAATCACAACCCCAGCAGCAGGGAAGAGCTGGATGCTCACTGTTCAGTAGCTTATTCCGGGCCAGTCGCGGCTCCCAGAACATGTACACACATCTTCCCACAAACCTCCTCCAGGCATCTATGCTTTGCTTAGAGCACACTTGCATATTTTTCTACATGGGAAAGCTAATCCTGCTATAACATAAGGCATGAAAAGAAAAGGTTCTTTTTACACATGGAGTCCTTATTACAGCTATACCCATTGTGAAACACAAGGAAATAACAACATTAGTCCAGGGAACACAGCCATATTCTCTACCACCTGAGGCCTCACTTGCCACTCTCTTGTTTGGAGACATGATCAGTCCCAGCTAGAGAGTCGGATGTGAAATGGGATGTGGGCTGCTTCATTCCATTAGTTGAAATATAACTAAAGCCTCCTCTCAAGCTATAGAGTTATATTTCCATACTGTGTGCATATGGACAAATAAAGGTCTGTGTTCTTCTGTCCTAACTACAAAGCAGTCAAATCTCCAGAGGCTTACCTATGGCTCTCCCTTGTGAAGCCTGAGTTAGGCCAGATGATTGTGCCAGACTGGGAATCACTGTGGTCCCTGTGACAGAGGCAGGATGAGATAAACCCGCAAAGGACATGTCTGAAGAATATATTGACCCATCTGCTGTGGATCTTGGAGTGATGGAGCCTGTGACCAATAGCTCAGAAGACAGCTGGTAGGATGTCATTTCTCTGCTGTAGATAAAAATGACCGTTTAGGAATTTGTCAAGAAAATTGTCTCTAAAACCAGATTAAAGCATACATCAGTCTCTGCCTACTAAATCAGTGAGATCAGGATCTTATATGGGGACAAGTCATATTAATGATAATCCAGAGAATGATATCCCAACCTCTTCCTCATTTTCAAGAGGACACAGTCCTTGCTGAGCAATACTTGATCATGATACAGCTAACAACCTATCCTCAGATGACCAATAGGCTTGTACCACCTAATGTGTCTGCATGCTGGGCTGACTATTTGCAACATCGTGCCATCTGAGAAGGTCCGTGTCTGTGAAGAGATCTTTGAGTTCTTGTAGGCTACCTAAGGTGCCAGGTTGTGGTGGCTTTTGGATGAAATCTGTAGCTGTAATTCTCTTCTGCATGCCACCATGGGCAGGACCAGACAAGAATTGAGCATGTAGTTCCTGCTCCCTGGGCCAGATGAACCTGGGCCAGTTCCCATCTGGAAGCCACCTTGCCAAGTCAGCACAGAACCACGTCCTAACTAATATACTCACTTATCATAACACAGCTATGCAGGTTTTAGACCAGAGTTGGCTTATATCCATCCTGCTAGGAGCACAGACAGAGGGATTTGGATTTGTCTTTACTTTTTTTTTTTAACCTAGACATGCTTCTAGGTACCAACTGTACGGACTGCTCCTTTAGAAGGATGACCAGACAGTGGTTCAAGAGGCTGCTGATCATTTGCCAGCACAGCAAGCCCACAGGGCCATGGGATTTGCAAACATCTTCCACCACAATCTTACAGGAATTGCTGAGTTCCCCATATTAAGTTCTTCAGAAGAAAGTCTCTGTCCTTCACTTGAAGTTAAATAGTTACGTGGCTCATTTTATGTCATTCAGGGGACCTTACAGAATTCCTTACTGTGACACTAAGAGATGCTGTTGCAGAGTCAGGACAGCAAGAGAGGTTCAGGGAAGTGGGGAGATGAATCATGGTGGTGCCTCTCATCCAGTCTTGTCTCATGGGATGGGATGCAGGGGCTCTTCCAACAGCCTAATAAGTGTGAGCTGCATGTCTCATGTAGACAGTATGCTGCCCAAGCAAGCGTTACTGTTCTCTGAAGCATAATTTCTCTGTTCCACTCAAGGCATCAGTCCTTTGCATCACCTCTCTGGTGGGCTATGCCATTGCAAGTCCATGAGCCCTATGCGGCCATTGAAAACAGGAAGGCATTTACCTGTCAGAGGCAACTATGTTAACTTATGCACTTTTTAAAGGAATATATGTGATTAAAGACAATGTGCCTGTAAATGCAGAGGCACCCCCTGCACACATATAGCAATCAGCACTCCCATGGCTTCCCTGGATCTACACTATGAAATGGAATAGCAGAAAAAATACCACAGTTCATATGATGCTGACACATGTAGGACTTTTTTTAATTAGAAAACTCAAAGCTTAGCAGCATCTGTTGAAAACCTCAAAGGAAGAAAAAGTGTGTGTGTAGTCATCCTTGTAAATATTCCCAAGAACACTATTTTTGGTCATGGCAACACAGCTGAGGCTGACCGTATACAAGCTGGCAGCTTTTAGGCAACATTGGCAGGAAAAGCATTTCCTTCCCAAGCATCTGGCTTTCATCTGGGCGGATACACTTGGTCAAGCCATTTATTTTATGAACTCCACCTGCATGTGTGTACCTATGCCTCTCTGCCTGTGTGGGCGGGTAGGGCTGAGCATTTGCTATATACTGAAGGATTTAAAAATGAATTTAATTACCTCCTGCTTCCAGCTATGGTGGTACAAGTCCAGAGCAACTTCAATAACTTCAGTGAAATTACTTGTGGGTTTATTCAGGTGTCACTGAGAGCACAGCTGAGCCCAGAGCAAGGCTCTTCTAAGCACCAGCTCATAGGAAACATCCACAGAGACTGGCAGCATGATTCTAAGGCCTAACAAAACCCCTGCTTGTGCAATGGGTGTCATCCACAAGCATTGTGCATTAAACTGCATTACGAAATCTAAAATACAGATACATTTATTGTGGTCTTCATACTGGATAAAACAAGAGGATATTAAAATGTCCACCCCACCCTGCCATTGCTTAGAGTACAAAGTTGAAACTCGGTGTTGTGATTAAACAGAGGAGTGGACCAAAGTCTCCCTGTGTTAAAGGAGGCAGTTAATGACAACAGTAGTAATGGGGATGACACATCACAACCCAAACCACTCAGATTTGTTTTCTGCATAAATCTCTGCAGTTTCCAGTCAGGCAAAAGAGGAGCCTGTGTTGATTAAAATGGCTCTTTAGTTTATCAACTAGCAAATGGCTCCAGCAGACAGAAAAGCATAAGCTATATGGCTTGCTCTATATAATACATGAATCATATTTATAATATGTTATGTTAATTATGTTATGTTATGTTATGCTACGCTGTGTTATCTATTTTATTTTATGATTTTATGGATGTACACATACAGAAACCTATATAGATATAGGTATGAGATATGTCTGTGAACAAATGAATGGTCAGCAAGATTCAGCAGGCCTTGAACTCCTGCATGCAATCACATTATGTCAGTTTAAAATACACTGTTTGTGACAGGGAGAACAGATCATTGAAGCAGGTTTATATTTGAGAATTTGCTCTTTGATTCGCTAGACTTTCTAATCAAAAGAGATTAGTTTGGCCTATGTTTACTGATGTATATGCAGCCCTTACATTTTCCTTCAAGTCATCCATTCTTTTAGCAAGACCTTTAATTCTGTGGGTTTTGGCACCACATCTGGCTAGAGAACCCCCTTCCTGCCACTCTAGTTTGTAGATCTCAAGCATGTGCAGTTTTGAACTACAGGGAATAGCAAGAGGAGAACTGCACCAGTGAAACTCATGCCTACTCCAGGAACCTGAAACACATTTCAGCTACTGACTGCTAAGTGGAACCTGAGCAAACAGTTCTTGTTAAGTGGATAGAGAAAGCAGAATGAAAATTGGCATGGTCATTTCAGTAATTTCTCCCACAACTGTTCTTCCTCTGCCTTTTCCAGGCACAGACGCTCCAGCAGGTGCTTGTGGCTCTCTTGCTTTGCTCTAAGAGAAGGAAACCATTGTCTTTAACATTATATGTGCAGGGAACAAAGTAAGGTGATATGGACCTAGGTTAGGAGGCTTGGTATGAGCTTCATCAGTGCCAGGTGATGGTTTCCACTCCCAGAGTCTACTCAGAGAGGTAAAGGGCTCCTTGAATTCAAGACAGCAGAAGCTCAGAGACAGATGGGTGAGGTTGGGTTGGCAAATCTACATAGGCTGCTTTGCCTTGGGTGAATCTCCATGCCTCCCAAACAAAGGATTTCTGGTAATTTAGCATGCAGGGGACTGGAATTTGACTTGGAAGAATACAAGGAAGAAGCTAAGAGAGCTTGCTGGGTCCTTTCTGAGCTTTAAAAAACTACTTCCCCCAAAGGAAACAGGTATTAACAAAGGTTCCACAAAGCAGAACCTGTTTGAGCAGAGAAGGGAAACAGAGCATGGCAAAGAGTAAGAGTACACATAGTACTGGGAGTAAAATTGCTGGACTCAGGCAAGTTGGAAGCCTAAGAAAACTGGGGATCTGATGTAAACTCTACTACACAGGCATATGAGTACTTCTAAAATAAACACAGACGGAACCACCAGCAGCATATGAACACCATGGTCTGCTCTGGGAGGTTAGATGGGGTAAGAACAGGGATTTCCAGAAAGGAAGAACTGGTAGGATCTTGGGAGACAAAATTGTGTCTAGCATGACACGACAAGACAACAACACAATAAAGAAATGCTATGTCATACTCTTTCAGTGATGCCTTTACAAACCTGATATTTTTTCTTTTGAGGTAAAGGACTAATTATTTGTGAGGGGTGGTGGCACAGACCTTTCTTTGTCTATTCTAAAACTCAAAAAATCTAGGATGTGACTATTCAAATATTGTCTTAAGAAAGATGTACAAGAAAACAGGAAATAAGGTAAAAGTGATTGTTTGTTTAGGGTTTTTTTTTTTTCAGTTAACTCTCCCACCTGTTTTCTCCTTCAGACACATCTCTGGGTGACTTGATTTCACTTTCCACGAAGACGTAATTCTCCTGAACTCCTCCTGTGCTTCCTTCTTGGCAAGAAGTTCTTGCACCTCCTAAGAAAACAATCACACGAAATCAGAGGGAAAATGGTTTTGAAGGTTGTGATTATCACACCAGCTAGGCTAGTATGCACTTTGGAACTCAAAAATTATATTACATATCATACGAGAGATATGTCATTCATACTTTGATCATTGTGCTAAGGAACTTCAAATGTTTGGTAAGTTTGGCTACCTATAATACTGATTTTATGAGCCAAACAGGATGGTGTCTCTGATCTTTCAAAAGTGGTTCTACATTCATTAAATTGTAAAATTCAGACATTTATCATTAGTTTCTTAGATAAGTGTGTGTCTGTCATTTAAGCAATGGCAAAATCATTTATAATCAATAGTCACTGTAGTTAAACACAGTGCAAAGAAGATAAATAGAGCCAATGTTTTGGATCTATCTTGATAGTACCAGGTTGGAAGTTCTCTGGTACGTACATACACTCAGAAAATAAGTTCTTTTAAAAAAACATATAGTGGCGTGCACTTTAAAGACAAAAGAAAAAGACAGCAACCCCAAATCTTACCAACACAAACTGACATCTCGACTCTCAACCAGGAAAAAGCTGGAAGAAGTGACACCTCCACACACACACACACCAGTTACACCTCTCTGCTGGAAGATGCTCCCCACAGGGCAGCATGGGTCAGGTACGCCATTGCAAATGCACACCCAAACACGCACTGTGTGTTACACTGAATAACTGGACAAAACATGCTGTAGAAATGTACAGACATCTCTCAACAAGTTATGCACTGACCACTTCTGGAGAAGGTTAATACCGCTTCTCTTAGTGGGTAACAAAGTAAATCCAGACACATGCAATTGCATCAGGAAAAGAAGTTCCTCAGGCTCCTGGGAAATTACTGCTCTGCACTACTGAGCAAGGAGAGCAGCACGAGGCAGTCTCTGCACAGCACATAGAATTATAGAATCAGTTGTGTTGGAAAAGACCTTTAAAATCATCGAGTCCAACCAGATGCACACAACCCTCCTGACATACTGCAAGTCGGGAAGCCATCTACCTCTCCCCAGGCAGGGCCAGTAAATCTCAGGGTCACCTGGGAGAATGGGCAACGGGTGTCAATCTCCAAAAATACACCACAGAGTTTTGCCATGGACAGGACTCTGGAAGCCACAACAACCATTACCCCAGAGTACCATTTGATATGCAGGAACAATTTGCTCACTGAGTGTTTTGACCTTCTTTAGTCTCTGTACAGAAGGCAATATTCTCATACTCTGCAAGCGAATTGAACTACTTCTTAGCTTAAGTAGGATAGGTCAGTGCCCTATTGCTGAGCATCACACTTCCACTGTCATCATTTTTCTTTTACCATGAGAAAAACTTCCAGAATTTTATTACAGTGGCATCCCAGATGATTTGTGCAATCAGTAACATAAACTATGGTTTCAAAGATTACGAGACTCCATATTAATTATGTACACACAGTACATGGTAGTTGAAACATTTCTGGAAAACAAATCTTAAATCAGGCTTGTTTGTATAGCCCCAGGAGATCTCGTCCTTCTCCAGAATAAATGAGTAGGTCTACTGATATCTATGTGGTTTGATCACTGCCAAATCAGTACATGTGAGAAAGCAACTTGTGACTGCTACACTACACTAGATTTGGGAGCATGAGCTCTGCAATATAAATATTTTGAAAAAAAGACCAACCATCTCAATGCTAAATATAACATAACTTTGGTCTGGGTTGAGGAAATTTTGCAACATAAAATCCAATAGTACCACAGTAGACTTATAAACAGAACTAGTCTGGGTTAAAAGACATATCCCAAATGCTAAACAAATACTTCTTCACATATAAACAGGGATAAGAAATAAATGTAGGGAATAATGATTTCCACTTTGAGGAGAGACGATCTAGCTAGCTAATGTAAAGAAAGAGTTGCCTTTGCTCAGATTGGCACGATGCTGTTTATGACCTCATTTAAAAAAATAAAATAAAATATAGACTACTGTTCATATGTTTCTGAGTCACGGAGATAAAACCAAAGTTAACTGGGGTAGCCTTTAGAAGAGCCAAACCTGAGGACGTCTCTGGCTTTTCCTTCCCCAGAGGTTTTCCTGGTGTTCCTTTTGCAAAACAATGACAGCATGTCTGTGAAGGCCCGGCCGGAACGTTGCTGCTGCCGGGCCAAACTCCTCTCCCTGCAGGAGTGGTTCAGGGCCAGAGCTGGCTCAGCACTCGTGTTCAGACAAGCAAGCCCTGTTGACAGCCGTCTCTGCTGCAGGGACCTGGAGGGGTTTCCAGCCTGCATCCTCCACCGCTTGCCAGACATCTCCTTGCACACGCTTACTCGTTTGTTTGACCAGCGAGACACATTTCCGTTTGGGTTTAAAAGTGCTGCACAGAGGAAGTGAAGGAATTTGTTTAGAAGAGCAGCCCCTACTCCATCTGTGTGGCCGCTGCATGTTTTGTGGGAACAAGGGCAGAGCTGGAAAATATGGGTGCCCACTATCTCCTGCCACCAAGCCTTGAGTGGTTGGAGGAAACTCCCCGTTTCAGCGAAACTGCTGTCCCCGTCACCTGGCTGCAGCTGAACACCAGGACAGATTGATGATACCAGACTGGTGCCGCTCAGCGACTTCCAGCTCAGCCCATGACTACACTGCTGCTTAGCTGAAGGGTGGGCAAAGCTGCAGCCCCCCTGAGCCCCACCACTCACACACGGCAGTCAGGAAGCTGGTGAAGATGCCAACCAACTACTCCTACACAGAGGGGAGGGTGGTCTTTGGCTGCTGCATTACCCCAGTGCCACCACCCTTCAAAGACTGTCCCTAGGCTCCAGGGTGGTTATGTCACCAACAGCAGGGCTGGGGAATGAAGAAATCCTTAAGGCCGCCTATCTTTCCCTTCGTTCCCCGGATCTGGACTGGGGACTCCACAGCAATATTCACAGGTCAGGGTACTTTCCCTGTTAATAAAAGGTGCCCTCAAAATCAGACTCGAAGCTTTTGATTTCTTCATTCTACACTGCAAACAAAGGGGACAATAATAATTAACCCTACATCCTAAATGTTAATTACAAAGGCATAGGTCTGATAGTAAAAAGTTCATTTCTAGTGAACTTTAATTAACCTCAAAACCTAGTCTTACTTTGAGACTTATTAGTAGACGATAGAGAAATTTCTTACATTTAGATACAAAACACAAATGTAATCTAAGGACAGATGAGTTGCAAGGTAAAGGAGTCATCTGTTTGATTCAAAAATAGTTTGCTTGAATACACAGTTATCTCACTTTTACTTAGTATTTTTGAGTTACTATTTACTAATTTTGCTAATATTTTATTACATATAGGACAGCTCTTGGGAGCATCATACATGATGAGACTATCATATATGTATTTAAATCCTACGTATATGTCTTCACCTAGGGGGCAGCTCAGGTTAATCAAATGCTGATTGAGTGTTCAGTTCAGCTGAACACTCCAGACAGGTCTACATTCATCACTTCCAGGGTGAAAATTCATCTTGCTCTCACTAGTTGTTTCCTAATCAGCTGACTGCTCGATTCACTTGATTGCTCCCTATGACCATACTATAGCTGGCTGCTTCCTTTGCCTCCCAATCACACCAATTGACCTTTTTGTCAAAAATATTCCAGGTTTCAGTGCTCCGCTCACAGCTAATTGCACCCTAACAGATAATTTTGGCTGAGCATTCAACGTGTATTTCCATTACAGGCACTGAGAATAGTGACTTAGGGGGCATTTTAATTAGAGCATTCTTGGAAATAATCTGTGTGAAGGCACCACATGCAGTCACACGATCACACGTGAGCTAGCTAGACAGGCACGGCAATTAACTTATGGGTCTATCCAAGAGTTTGGGCAGTGGACGTGACTTGGTCTGTATAAGTAATCACAGTTATTCAAATAAAACCTTATCAGCCCTGTTCTGTGCTGTCCTGTGCCAGCCATCCCTGGTAAATGGTTGGCCTCTTGAGTCACCTCTCCCACTTACCAAAATAAAGTTCTGTTTGAATTCCACCATGTTCCCCATGGCTGGTGGAGAGTTTACTCCAACACCGTGGCTGACCACTACTGCACGACATTCACACAGGGATATATACTCTTCAGAAGTGTCATCCAAAATGAGAGTTATGAGGTCTGGATGAGGCTATAATTTAAAAGTAGGGTGTCCAGTAGTCATTCAGCTGTCATTAAATATTAAAATAATACTGTGTGTACAATTTGCACAAACAGCACAGAGCAATTTGAATAGTGCTTGGAAACTTAGCTTTGTCAATAAAAGTATGTGCTGTCAGAAGACAGGAATTAATTTGAAAAAGTGCATTCTAGTCAACACTTTGTTTCCATTATGTGCTGCTAGAGTAAATTAAGCACCATATAAAGTTTACCCGAGATTGTTAAAGGCTTGCTTGCCACCAAGAAATTAGTTTCTTAAGACAAGCCATTTCTGAAGAATCAAGAAAATTCAGCATGTAAAACCAGCAAACAGTTTTCTTACTGAAAAAATGTAATGTCCTCTATATTTAGAGATTTATCTAGGTTTTTGTTATAGATCTATTTTTAAAGACATACAGCTTTGTGTATATGATGTTATTCCAGATGACTCTCCAGAACTGTGAAGCACATCAGACTATGTGCTTAGGAAGCGGAAAAACTGAAAATCTGCAAAGCATTATTTCTGCAGAGCTTTCCCAAGAGATTTATTTGTACTATTCTGCACCTAGTGTAAGCCCAGAGAGTCCATCTGCATACTCAGAGATGGAGCTACATGAACCCCTCCCTGCAACGCAATGTCACTGCAGTCAGCCCTGTGTGAGAAGAGCCAACATCTCTCTGCAAATTCAGAGAAACGCAGCAGAGGGCTGAAAAGGACCTCTGCTGTGCATGCTTCAGCACATGCAGAGGTTTGGGCCCTTGGGTTTGCTAGATAAGATTGATACAAACTTCAACTTCTCTGCAGGGTCCCCTCATCAGCTATCAGCAGGGCTCTCTACTCCCTGACAACCAGGACTTCAAATCCTCAGCAAGGATCCTTTGTTTCTATAGCTCTTTCGTGGGACGCAATGGTCCTTCTGCAGGGGCTTGAGTTACATTAAAAAAATGATGCTTTTGTTGATTCTTATATTAGGGCAGGGGCAGAGCTTGGTGGGGCTGCCAGTTTGAAGGGAGATGTGATAGCAATACTGTACCAGTGTGTACCATTCTGTGCGTGGCCTTCTGGGAAACATGTGCAAGGAAATCCAGCATCTGATACCTTCATTCTATTTCAGCTATTAAACTTTACAGCAATGAGCTTTCAGTGATATTCCCTAATATTCAGCAATCAAGGTTCAGATACAAAACTGTCATTTGGTTCAGATTGATTTCTACAAAAGAATACTATTTTGGTTCAGAATATTTCTTCTTTCTTTGTTTTCATATAATCATTAAATTAATATCAGCAATAATAATAACAACAATAATAATCTCATAATATGTCTTCACACAATTTTAAGGGACAGCAGAGGGCATATGTGGTCTTACTACCAAGAAATACCTA